TGTTCGTGTATGTAGCGCTCACGTGGGAGAGCTGCCCGGCTCACGGCAAGATAGTGAAAACAGCTCAGTGGGTGCGAAGTCAATGAACTCGTTAGAGAAGTTTCTTTTTCTGAGTCTGGCTGCCCACAGGCTATGGGGACGCCTCGTTCTTCTCCGTTGCTTCCTCAGGAATGTCCACGGACACAGTAGGACTCAGAAGGTGTCGGTGAGGTGCCGGCTGTGAGTGGGCGGGGGGTGATTTGAATCTCTGCCCAGGCTGGTCAAGCGTGCACCGCCCCCCCCCCACCGCCCCCGTCCCGGGCCGGCCCAGGCCACGCTGTATGCTGAGGACACCCTAGGTTTCCCGAAAGCCCCTGCTGTTCTCACCCCACCCCCGCCCCAGGCAGCAAGAGGGACAGTCTGGCCTCCCGGGCCTTCCCTGAGCGGGCGTCCTCTCTCACAGTCTGAACGTAGCCTTTGTTCTTTGGATCATTGTCTCCGACCTTGACTCTCCACCCACCCAGCTCTTTTCCATCCCAAATCTGGCTGGGTGGACTAGGGATTGTTTTGTGGGCTGCTAACGGGGGAGTGACATCATGTGATGTCCGTGGCCCAAGGGCTGGGGGCGGGGGCTCTGCGGCTGTGTGTGCTTTGAATTAAGTCGACGGCTGTGCATTCCAGTAGCCAACATCTGGTGGTGAATTCATCAGCCAGTGTATCACCCTTGATCTCAAACCCAGATGTTGTGTTAACGGCAGAGGGGAAGAAAAAAAACAAAATCAGAGCAGCTCGGGGAGAAGCCATCATTTTTTAGCACAAAGCAGTTAAAACAGGGAATCTTTTTTTTTTTTTTTAAAGATTTTATTTATTTCTTTGACACAGAGACAGATCACAAGTAGGCAGAGAGGCAGGCAGAGAGAGCGGGAGAAGCAGGCTCCCCGCCGAGCAGAGAGCCCGATGTGGGGCTCGATCCCAGGACCCCGAGATCATGACCTGAGCTGAAGGCAGAGGCTTAAACCACTGAGCCACCCAGGCGCCCCAAAACAGGGATCTTTATAAAGCCTCTTGCTCCTGCCACTGCCTCTGGTTCCTACAGCCAGGGGCAGGCCCATGGCGCAGAGCTGCTCACTGCTGGGGAGTGGACAGCTTGAGGGCTAGTCGCCCACCCGGGGCCAGGCACCCGGCCCAGCACATAGTAGGTGTTCGGCAAACGTGTGTCCTTGCGTGGATTTTAATTTCCTCTCAGACTCTTGGTGTCTCTTTGCCGTTCCCCAGTCCTGGCCTTTAAGTGGCCCGGGGCCGAGACGGGCCCATCTTTGACTTAGAGTGGTCTCCATCCCAGAGCTCTGGGATGCCTGTCCCCTGAGGTGTTGGAAATGCCTTTCTGGAGAGCTCTCTGCCTCCTCCCTGCCCACTGCTTGGGTTGGAAATGGCGTGCTTCTCTATCCCCCCGTCCGCTGGTCTGACTTCTTATCTGGGTTGGATGCTCCTTGAAGGCCATCTCTGTTACCAAAGACCCTCCCTCACCTTACCCCTTTCTCCCATGGGCAGAAGGAGGCCCACGCTTTTAGGATTTTACCTGAAAGGCAACTCAACCCCGAGCTCTGAGTCTGGCTGCTAAGAAATCCCCACTCTGGTTTCATGCTGGGGGCAGAAGGCTGAGGGTCAGAATGTCCACAGCCAGAGCTGGCTGGGGTCCCCCATGCGGCGGCCCCAGCCCTCCGTCCCTGTGGGGCCCCTCTGCCTGTTTCCCCGAGGTCTCCTGCCTTCAGCTTGCCGGTGGGTCCTCCGGCTTTGATGAATTCATTTGCAATACCTTTGCTTATACCCTTCCCTGCCCAGAGTGCTGAACCCACAGCGCACCTGCTTCCCTGCACGGGCTGTGGCATCTCCGTTGACAGGTGTACCCCTGGCACCTCTCCTTCGCATCTGATGGTGTTGATGTTTTCAGAAGATTGCCATAGAGCTGGTCTTTCTTTGCCCCTCTTGATTCTCTTTCTTTCCTTCACATTATCTCCCATTTCGCAAGGTGGAGAGGAGGTTCCCACGCCGCATTCAAAGACCCTGAGGAATCTTGAGTTCTTATTTGCGTGGACCAGCCCCACTGCGGTTCCTCCTGGCCCCCGCCCCCACGTCCCTGCAAGCCACAGGCAGCCTGGGAGCCGGTTCACAAGCTGGCCTTGACCCGCGAGTCTGCCCCGGATCCTGGATTCAACCAGTCCCTTCTTTCCGATAATTTAAAAAAAGAAAGCATGTCATCTGTAGCCCTAAAGCGAAGCCAGCAAGTTAGGAAGCGGTGTCTGACCTAGAGCCTGGGATTTGTGCTGACCTGGGGGTGCCATCCGGACCCGAGTGGCCGGCGCGATGTAGCTCTCCCAGCCTCCCACCTGCAAGAGTAGGAGAATGTGTGCCAGGCACGGTGTGTCCCATGATCCGGGTCCTCTACTCCCGGGGTAGCACAGGGGGCTGATGGTGGCGGCGGCTCGGTGTCCGCTGTGAGTGGCTGTGCTTCCGGGGGGAGCGTCCATGACCCTACACGGCGGGCAGGGGCCGAGAGAAGGGTCTAGCCCGGTGCCGCCCCACTTGACGAAGGATTCGGACTGCCTGCGACCTTAGGGGCTTTTCTAGGAGAAAATGCCTGGACCTGAATGCGTGGAACGGGATGGAACCTGCTCACTGGGGTTTTCTCATTGCCGCAGGGGAGTTGATGCAAGACCCGTTATTCGTGGATGAGGTGTCGTGGGGTAGCGCACCTCGGAAAAGGAGTTTGAAAAGGTGCGCCGAATTGGGTGTGTCCTAGTAAAACCCAGCAGCCGTGCTGCTCCCAGAACCGCTGTCTCCCTTGGATGTTCTGGTTCATCTGCTACCACCAGCCCGTAACAACGCTCACAGCCCAGAGACACCTGGGGCGTTGATCTGGGGCATTCATCTGGGATCGTTCGTGATTTGCATCAGCGTTTCCCCGTGTGGCAGTGCAGTATGGTGTGAGTGAGGCAGGCAGTGAGAGAGACCACAGACGGACTCACCTGGGTTGCCCGGATGTCTCCGGGACAGCCCGGTTCCATCTGGCAAGGACCTAGTGGGCCCCGACTATGGCGAGAACGTAGCCTCTGCCCGGTAGAAGCCCGCTGAGCCCACAGGGGTGCAGGCATTTACAGCAGGATGGAAGAGAGATGTGGAACGTGCCAAGGGCTGCAGGAGGACAGGATCTCCCAGAGCAAGACAGGAAAGGGTGATTTTATCTGGGTTTTGAAGGATGCATAGAAGTTCTCCTGGCAGGGAGGGCTAGATGGTCTTCAGGGCAGAAGAGACTTGTCTAGCCAGAGGTGGGGACACCCCTCGGCGTTTTTGGGGTCAAGGGACCCTTATGGACGGGCAGAACAGCAGGACGGGAGCAGCTGGGGTCATGGAGAGACCTGCTGGCTGGCACCACGTTGTGGAGGGTGTCCTGTTTTAGATGAGGGCAGTGGGCGGCTAAGGAAGATGTTTGAGTCTGGAGGGATGCAGCTATAAAAAGTCTGCTGGCACTGGGGGTGGAGAAGGAGGAGCCACTGGACACAGGCTGACCCACTCCCAAAGGCAGAGCCTTCTGTTGAATGTGGCCCACTGGATGGCAATTCCTAGATGTGGCTTTGCAGATTGGGGCCTGGCTTAGCCTGAGAAACAGGAACCTGCGCTTCGTGACTCAGCTCCAACAGAAGAAGACATAAGAATGGGGTTTGGGTCTGGGTGGGACCGGAGAGGGATGGCGTGGGCTGACCTTTGGTGACAGGCTGGGGCCCAAGGCGGGGGGCACAGACGGGATGCACGTGCCTCGGCTTCCCTGCTCCGTGGGCAAGACAGCCTTGGCCAGGGGGTTCCAAGATGCGAGCTGCCTGCCTGGGGCTGGAGGACGGAGGCGCCTCTGTACCTGGCTCTGTCTCTTCCTTACTGCTCTGCTCTGCTTTTGTCCACATTAACCTAACTCTCTCCCAAGTGACCCTGCACAGCTGAGCTGTGGAGGGCAAAGCTTTTAAAGCCATTAAAGCAGGCGGTGTCACCAGCCGATAAGCTTCCAGATGAAACAGAGGAGGGCTGGGCCCCAGGGACACGTGAGCAGCCGACCCTCCCTGCCTCAGGGTGCAGGCTGGGGCCGGGTCCTGGCGTAATTGCTAGGAGGACGCCCTGTGGTGCATGGCCCACCAGCAGCCTCAGGGTCTGGCCAACATTCCAGAACCTTCCCAGCCAGACCTCTTCCCCTGTCCTGCATCTTGTGTCATGGTCTGGGATCATTTTCTTTCCGTTTGGCCTCCCTCCCTGGCACCTGCCCCGTGGGTCTGCCGGTGGGGCCTGGGAATGTTTCCTTTGTGGGGCGGGGCGGCCAGAGTGCTCTGACCCTTCCTCTGTTGTGCCCTTGTTAGGATGTGTTGTTGTTTTTATAAAGAATCACCCACAGGACATTCTTCAGGGTCATTTTAAGGACAGATGAGGCGTAGCAGGCCAGAACCTTCAGATGTAAGACCCCCAAACCCAGATGCGATGGGGCCTCCCGTTAGCCCTCCACCCTCAGCCTGGAAAAGCCTTCGTGGAGCTGGCAGTGGCTGGAGGCTGGGCGGTGTCAGCACTCG